TAATTAGATATGAGTCTCATGCACTTTTCTGCTCAGGCTGGCTTTGAATTGTCATCTTGCGTAGCTAGAATTATAGTTGTGAGCATTAGCACCCAGCTCTGAAACTCATATAAACCACTAAATCAGATTTCTTTATACTTTTAATTCTTAGCATAGTGCCTAGAGCACAGCAGTTATTCAATACCTAATACATCTAATAACTATTTGTAGGAACTAGATATGCTATGGAAAAAATTATTACTATCTCAGGATGCTCTTGTGTATTCCAGTGGATATCAAATTTGGACTAGTAATACACAATTAAAAATACATCTTATTTGCAATGGAATGGGTGTGCACTCATACAGATGAAAACCACAATAGAAAAACACTTTTCACAAAATAACACTAAACTAACCACCTGTAATACTCCTGATTAGGAAATAAAGCTGTGGCTCAAGTGGTAGAATGCTAGCCTAGAGCAAAAGAAGTTCAGGGCCCACTGAAGCACCCTGGCCCATCCTGAGTTCAAACCCCAGGACTGGCACTAAGAAAAATATTAAAAAATATATACACCTTCTTACTTCGTTCTATCATTTTCTTTGGTATTTTCTTTTCTGATCAATTCTGTAATATAAAAAAGAAAGAAAGAATGACTATAATCTCTTATCTTGGTTTAAATAATCAAATACAGTCATCCAATATTTCAAAAAAAAAAAGCCTTGATTTGTGGATGAGTTAAGTCTACTTCTGACCATGATATAAACACAGTGTGCATTTATCTCAGTAAAAGCATCCATATTTTGGAGCTTTAGTTCCAATTTTATTCTAGTAGTACTAGGGATGTAAATCAAGGCCTCTCATTTACTAGGTAAGTGCTCAACTAACTTAAGCCTTTCCCCAATCTTAGAGCCTTTAATAAAGAATCCCAATGATTACAAAAAGAGGTCGGTGTTCATGTTGGGTAAGACACAAATCTTTATCTCTTTAGTTGGAAGAAACTAAGTCTTCCATGGATAGAGAAAGGTAACTCTTTCAAACTCACAATAGTAACACATATAATGGGATAGTTTCCTTGATTTGAAAACACATAAAATGACTTTTCATCAGTGATATCATAAACATTATTTATAAGGAGGAACTATAAGAACACCTGTGTGTACAGGTTAACACGAGGTGTTTACTAAACTACTCTAAGGTATAAGTTTCTTTGCAGTCACATAAAATAACTCATAATAGGATAATAGTGTAAATATAGGAGATCTATAACTACAGCATACCCAACTATAAAAACAGAAATCATCAACATGTTTATGAAGTTATCTCTGCAGCCAAACACCAATGATAACCCACACCTGTGCAGAAAACTTTTTTTTCTGTCTCTTCCTACAGTATAACAGAAGGAAATTAATAAGGATCCTGTTCACTCAGCTATCAGCTGAATTTCCCAGAATCCTTTTCTGCTATGCCTATTATATTACCTGTTTGTAGACAACAGGATAAAAGTAGAAGTGATATGTACAAGTTCCACACATACACCTAAGAGGACCATTTCTGTTAGCAGGAATGTGGATGTGGTGACTATCCACAGAACAAAGATGGACATCATACATGAAAAATGGTTCACATAGTTACATGAGAGGAAAAAAATGCACTTAGCAGTCAGGCACTGGTGACTCACACCTGTAATCCTAGCATGTCAAGGGTCTGAGATCTGAGGGTCACATTTTGAAACCAGCCTGGGCAGGAAAATCCATGAGATTCTCATTGCCAATGAACTAGCCAAAAGCCCCAAGAGGAGTTGTGGCTTAGGGGTAGGATACCAGCCTTTTATAAAAAAGCTCACACTGCCCAGACCCTTGAGTCTAGCACCTTGCATACGGTTGCAGCATCTATTGTGTTCTTAAAGCCATGAAATACGCATCTTAAATAACACCAAATTCCGATTCTACCATTCATGCCTCCAAACGCAGTGGAAAAGGGTAGATAACATAAGTGAGTGAAGTTTAATTACAATACAGAGTCAAAGTTAATGAAGGAAAGGACGTGAGGTTGTGAGGCTGTCCAAAAGCCGACAGCTATATGGTATAGAAAGGTCATAAATTCCCCAATCGACAATCAGGAGTGTCAAATCAACATTTCCTACAGGATACGGCAACTTGTCTTTCCCACGCTAAAGCATTTCCTTTTGACAAGATGAAAACTTTCTTGTACAGATTTCAAACAAAATACTGAAACAGAACAGAATGGAAATCCTTACCTTACTAGACCAAAATGTCAAAAGATTCACCTCTCTGCGTGAAAATGCAAAAATAAATGTGAAAGGACTCCACATGTCCAACACTATACACACAATGCAGTTAGATGGAGACCATTGCTTTGCGTATTGGTAAAGCACCAACAAATGACCCATGACAGGGTGCCTCATAAAATGAAATAGGGGACATTGATCAAAATGAACTAAGCAATTCAATGGCAGCAATGGGAGGGAGAGAACGAGTGGGAAAGAGGAAACAGCTGATGCTATGCAAAACAAAAGAAATGTACATATCACCCAATGTGGAAGAAATAACTGTATTGCAAAGCTCATAGCACTCATAAATGTTATAAACCATGATAGACAATTTGCCCCATGAAAGTTAGAATGTGTTTGTGACTTTAGCTAAGCATCACTATCCCACAATGCTGTGAAATTATGTAATCACTTAATCACAACAAAGAATTTGCAATAAACAAATAAATAGAAGACAACCCAGGACATTTTTGGTTCATCCAGATGAGGGAGATTTAGGGACTGCTTTGTTGAATGGCAATTCCTTTGTACAACTTGCTACTTAAAGATAAAAACAACTCAAAAGATTTAAATTATTTACTCATTCTAATTCCATTGATACTTTGCTTCTCTGTAGTTGAGATCTATTTTAATTTATTGACTAGTTACCTGGTCCCTGATGGGAAAGTTCAGAGGGATATATGCAATCCTATTAACAAATGCTACTCAAACATTAAGAAATGTACCTACTATGAATAACTGGTTCAAGGCTAGTTAATGAATTTTAAAGTATTCAATAATATCAATATATTTTACCTAATACCTGGCTGAATTTTCCACTTATGAGCCAAGCTCTGTGTGTGTGTGTGTGTGTGTGTGTGTGTGTGTGTGTCTGTGTCTGTGTCTGTGTACGTGCGCACACGGGCTGGTCCTAGAGCTTGAACTCAAGACCTGGCATTTTCCCTGAGGGTTTGTACTCAAGGCTAGTGCTGTACCTCTTTAAGCCACAGAGCAGTTTCTGGCTTTTGGTAGTCAATTGAACATAGCAATCTCCTACTTTCCTGCCCTGGCTAGCTCTGAAACACAATCTTCAGATCTCAGCTTCCTGAGCAATGAGGATTACAGGTGTAAGCCACCAACTTCTGGCTATGAACCAAGCACTTTTAACACAGGAAGTCTGAGAGTCACAGAAACTGTTACAGTTACAACACTGCTAGTAATATTATCCATTTTACAGATACATGTTCTATTTCTTTCCATTAAATTGTCACTACAGATGTGATATTGAAAATTAAACCCTAAATTTGGTAATCTAATGATAAGACTTAGAGAAAATGTCAGATCTTTTCTCCTTCCTATCCTTGATACTTGATATACATAATGATTATTGCGATCAAATGAAGATACTATAGAAAAATATATTAGTAACATTAATTCATAATTAATATAGTAAACATATGCGTTGCTTTTATCTGTGACCCTATTTCTTTCAGAAAATAGGATTAAAAAATAGCAATAGTGATGAAACACACAAATTTCTGAAAGGAACATGGTTCAATACTGAACTTTAGAAGCTAGAAGGCAGTTCCAGATTCATCTCCTATAAGTTTTCATCAAACTAGAGCTCCCAACAGATCTGCTCTTAGACTTGATACAATTTCTGCTAAGATTATCTGTTGCATTCTGATAAGAAAATCTCCTACCTTAAGACACACTAATGATGATTTTGCTCAAAAATGCCACAAAGGAGGATTCCCCCAAATTAAGGCTATCCTCTGTGTTATCCTTTACATACAGGGAAAGCTTTGATCCCTCTGCAGATTCATGACAGACATTGACAGTCACAGAATGTGGACTGCAGCAGAGAAGACGTGATGGTGAACCTTGTGTTAAAATCAGAAACAATTCATAAGGTGGCTCAGTGGCAGAGCACTTGCCTTGCATTCATGAGGCCCTGGGTTTGATTCCTCAACACCACATAAGCAGAAAAAGCCGGAAGTGGCACTGTGGCTCAAATAGTAGGGTGCTCACCTTGAGCTGAAGAGCTGAGGAACAGTGCCCAGGCCCAGAGTTCAGGCCCCACAACAGACAAAAAAAAAAAAAAAAAGGAAAAAAAGAAAGAAACAATACACCATATCCAACTTGAAATTTTCATAACACAATCATATGAGAAACAGACTTATGATATAGAGAATGCATTAAATATAATACAATAAGTAGAAGAAAGAAGCTAGAAAACTCAATATCCATGGAATATTTAGGTGAAATAATTAAACATAGTGGCCACGATGTGTGTCTGGGACCTTCACATCCATGAGTGAACCTCCTTAAATTCAAGTAAATGTAAAATACAAACAAAATTCTTAACACAAAGATTTGGAAACCTCAAGAAAATGAAAAAAAAAAAAACCCAGCCCAGTAGCCATCTGTATTGTTCATTACCAATACACTAGATTGTATTTTCATTTACAAATGTGATGCCCTCTACCCTAATTCAAAGTTTCCATGGGGAAAGAGAGTGGACAAGAAGAGGTCAGGCCTGCCAACATCTGTTCATAATGAAGACCAATCAACAAAATTAGTTACATAACCAACATTTAATCAACATGTTAGCCAGTTAATATTAACTGTTACTACTTGAACAGCTGCAGCTTCCATTAACAAAATGTCTGGAGGGAGTCATTCTTTCTGATAATGTAAGAAATTTAAAAGTACATACAAATAAAAATGTTACAAGTAATCCACTCACCTATTCCAATGAAAGCAGCTTTGTAGCCATGCTCCTTCAAGGAACTAAGGGTTATTTCATCCACTGAAAGGCTTTTCCCACAAACGATCTGTAACACACAACATTTAGAATAATAGTATTTTAGCACTTTATTCATAAACAATATTAGTTAACACACAAAAACAGCCAAAATAATCTACCCATGGACTTTCATAAATAATATGTGGAAACATTTCTGTCTTTTACTGCATAGGCTTGAATAAGGGAAAAAATGATTCATCAATAGAATACTAACATGTTTTATTCCAGGACTAAATGCAGAAGAAAAGTAGGTTGATATAAAAAATGTAGACAAGAAACAATCCTAGCTTGTTGAGTATTTTCAAGAACACTGTAGGGCAGTTTAGACAATAATAAATGTGACAAAACATCTGTTTCCATGCAGTCGAGTGGGAGCAGAAAATCAAGAGTTAAATGAAAATAAAAAAATACAGATCACCCTGTGCATATGAGGTTCAGAAAATGGAAACATGTCTTTCCAGCCAAAGTCCTATTGATGAGAATGCAAAGAGGAAGCGGGGATGTAAAGGACAGGATTTCCATAGGGAATTGTCTAAGGAAGGTGAACAAGGTCAGGAGGCAGAGGGCAGTCACCTCTCTCCCCATCACAGGATTTGGGTCAGTCTCCCAGGTGTGAGTCAATTTTCAGATATGGAGCCTTGCTGACTGAGAAATAAGCTGAGTTCAGCTGCAATAATTACCATAGTCCTCCAAAGGAAGCCAAGCCTCTTGCCCTTAGTCTCTGATTAAGAGAAATAATCAGACATTTGAAGGACTAGGGGATCCAGTCTCTCTACTGACAGTGATGCCTGGAGACATAAGAGCTAGAACCTATTCAAGTGGTAAGAATGGAGTCTGACTAAAATCTGGTTCAGTGAATCCTCTGCGATCACTAACCCTGCCGGTGAGCACCACATGAATCTCCCAGTGCTTGATTGGACTCATTAGCTGAAGAAATCATCCTAGAGGTATTACAGGGTATCCGTTACTAGTCTCACCTTTATGATACTAGGCTCTGATTTTTTTAAACAATGAACTTCCAAATAACTACTTTGTCTGCTAATATAAAAATAGGATTTGTAATTTGAGAAAACGAAAGTATGGCCCTCTATGATTCAGTCGTAGTCTTCTTCCTGCACTTATTTCTCCATTCCTTATTCCATTGACGCTCTAGAGGCATTGTTTTTGGTAGGTCTTTAATGGGTGATGATAATGTCTAGGCTGGCTTTGAATCATGATCCTCAGATCTCTGTCTCCTGAGGAGCTGGGATTTATAAACATGAGCCACTCAGTGGCATTCAGCTGGTATATAATTCTTTAAAATGGAACTCTAACAGTAAATGAAATATGTAACATCCGTTATTAAACATTAATATAACAATGGCTGTGCTCTTCACTTTTTTAGAAAGTAAACTTGGTTAAGTAAAGTATTTATAAAAGGAAGGATCTTAAGATAATATTAGCTTTATTGGAAATAAACTATTATTTTAGCTAATAGTGCACAATTCTCTTATTAGAGATATGATGGAATTTTAATATCAGTCATACAACACTTCTAAAATATAGAAATTGATTCTTCAAATAACCATAAGAAAAAAAGCAATGAGATATAGAGAGTTTATCAAGAGGTCTCAGTGAATTTTTGTTCTAAAATCATGAAGCAGAAGAAAAACCTAGCAATCACAAATGAAGTTTAATCAGAACTGGAGTTCTGTCAAAATATTGTGTGAAATGACATATGTACATATGTTAGCATGTATAGGAAAATGCAAAATCATTATGTGCACTTCACACTTTAAACACTGGGGAATTGAAACAAGATAGAAACTATGAAACAAATATATTCATGTCCAACTAAGCACTGAATTGCCTAACAGAAAAGAGAATATAATTTAAACGATTGCAAACACTCCAATCACACATCTGCTATTAAAGCTTACTTTAAATTAAAAAAAATCATTGGAGCTTGTATTGGAGTTCACTATAGTTAAGAGCCATTATATTGTAACAGAGACTATTTCTCATGAAGTGTAAATAATACTGCAATAATAGGAGATTTTGATGTAAAATCAATTGAAGGTATATTTGGTAAATTAAAACAGATAGACAGATAAATACTCATGTAAAGGGGAAAAGGGAAAAAATCTAAATTCAATTGCCAAATTCCATGAGCAGTATTTTTATTAGAAAAGCAAATAAAAGTGTTATTCTACAAAACTGCTGTCTGAGAGGGAAAAACAAAACTGTAATTACTCAAGGGAAATGACAATATTAAAATACAGAAAAATATGTGGATGCCGATAAAAGTTTAACTCATAACAAATTAATTACATTGTCAACCTTCAACGGAAGTGTGCAACTCAAGAGGTTAAAATATAAGGGAAGTTAATAAAATTCTAGCCATCAATGAATGAGCAAGAACACATAAAGCAACTGAGAACTTATTTCTTGAAAGATATGTGATCTATAGAAACACTTCCTAGTTTTCTCAAGAAATTGTAAAGCAAACCAAGAATAGAGAGGAGAAGACACACACAATCATGTGTATAGATGGATAATTTCTACTGTATGCAAGAATTCCATGTTTCAATCTAGATTAATGAATTCAGAAGCCTTAAGAAAACTGGAAATTTCTCTAAGAAAATATATCCAGGCAAAATTAACATTAAAATAAAGGAAGTATAAAAGATGAATAACCCTGAAGATTTTTTTTTTTGGTCGATCATGGGGGCTGAACTCTGGGCCTAGCCACTGTCCCTCAGCTCTTCAGCTTAAGGCTAGCATTCTACCACTTGAGGTACAGCGCCACTTCTGGCTTTTTCTGCTTATGTGGTGCTGAGGAATTGAACCCAGGGCCTCATGCAAGCAAGGCAAGCACTCTACCACTGAGCCACTTTCCCTGCTGAAGATATTTTTGAAGATGGTTTCGTGCTGTCTCTTGTAAAAGAAGCTTTGAGTCAGAATCACAAAAATCATCACGTTACAGAAGAGGACAAATTCTCTTTTCATTTATAAGGTAATTAAAGATTTGAAAGTTTATTTTTATAAGACCAGAGTAATTCTATCATCAAAACTCAACAGAAGCAACAAGCAGAAATAAATAAACCAAGACAAAACTATGCTTTGTACATTTTCAACTATGCAAGGGCAATATTGCACTATTCTCTGTCACATGTATAGTTCTAATATACATTGTGTAAATAAGTGAAGGCAAAACAAAACTTTAAAAAATGCTGATGAAATGGTGAGACAAAGGACAAAGGGGGAACCAATGCAACAGCAACAATTATGAGGCAATACGTTAGAAATGAACTGTACAACAAAGTGTGAGAAAATGAGGGAGGGGGTAACTGTGATCCCTCCGTATATCACCTTGACAATAAAATTACATTAAAAAAATACTGATAAGCCAAACATAATCCTAGTGATTCAGAAAAGGATACATGATGGGAAGATCTAGAGATGTCAGAAAAGGGAAGATTCACATAATTTAACATGTAAACAGAACATAAGGTTTTTGTTTAATTTTTAACAAAAAGTAGTAGAATGATTCTATTAATACTTTCATAAATTTTTAAAATTTTGGTAAACTAAACAGTAAATTATCCAACATGATTTAAAAAAAAGGTGTCCTCAAGACAAAAAAGTTTTACATCTTCTCATTTTGTACCTACTAGAGATTCCAGCCACTAAAGTGGTGAAAATATTATATACATTATACATGTGTTATATATATCATATATATATACATATATATCATATATAGTATATGATATATACTATATATATAGTATATATGCAACATATTGAATCTATTATACATACTATAGATATTTATGCATATATCTATAATATATTATGTGTGAGAATAACAGATAAAAATTCTCATTTTCTAGAGACATAATAGTTGATTGAAAAATATTCAGTAATAACATATAAAGTAAATTGAAATTATTCAGCAAGAAAATTTGCTCAAGGAGATAGGAGTGAAGATGAGGAATTGAAATCAACATACAATTAGCTGGACCTATTTGAATGATGGAATGCTAAGAATTCAAGAGAGGATGGTTCAAGATGTTGCTAACATTCTGGACACTCTTGTGTAAAATGAGTCCTGGATAATTATTTTTTGAGCAAATGAAATAAAACTTGGTGAAAGAATAATTAGGACAATTATGACAGGCGCTGGTGGCTCAAGGCTGTAATCCTAGCTACTCAGGAGGCTGAGATCTGAGGATCACATTAAAAAAGCCAGCCCAGGCAGCAAAGTCCATGAGACTCTTAATCACCAGACAACCAGAAGTGGAACTGTGGTTCAAGAGGTAGAGCGCTCACCTTGAGCTGAAATGCTCAGGGATAGCTCCCATGCCCAGAGTTCAAGCCCCGGAACCAACTACAACAACAACAAGAACAATTCAAACAATTAACGAAACAAAGCTGGAGCATGAGAGTATATAAGACCACTTATGCATCCAAAGCTGCATAAAATACAAAGTCAAAGAAAAGTGTATTTATTTTATTGGCAGGAATTTTTTACTGACTTGAAAATATCTGTTAACTTCAGATTTTATTCACAAATTCAAAAGTTTTGAGTAGCTTTCTAATGCTTTTGCAAAATATATTTTGCATGTACTTTAAATATATATTAGGTAAAACATTGTATATTATTAATCTATTGTGCTATTTGGGAAGTTAGAATTTTCGGAGCAAAGCAATAGTATACTCAAGTGAATACCTACATTATAATACTCTTTCTGTATTATATATACTACTTTTATAATACTCTTACTGTATTATATATACTACTTTTAAGTAGTGGTACAAAGGGGTTACCATCCAACTGATTAGTTTATAAGTCTAATGCATCTTGATCAACATCAGCCCTTTTACAAGTCTTCTCCAAGCTTCCCAACCCCTCGTGCCAATTTTCCTAGCTACATATGATATGCCCTGAAAATTATGGCTGTATTTCCCCACTTCTCTTCATTACCCCCTCCACTTAGCACCAACACCACAACTGTTATTCATTTTGATGGGATTTGAATTCAATTTTGTAAGAATCTTCCCCTGCATAAATATCTTTAATTAAAAAATAAGAATAATTACAGCTATATTCTGAAACCATCCTTAAGAGAACAGCATAGTACTTCACACAGACACACACACAGACACACACACAGACACACACATACATTTAATATACAGAGTTGTTTTTTTCTACTGCAACTGATTTACTGCTTCTGTCAAGAAAGGCTTATCATATTAACAATAATGACATGTTGCAGATAATAAATAATACAAACTTCTGCAAGAAATGATGCTCCAAATTGTGAAATAATGACGTTTCAGAGAGCACATGAGTTTCATGAAAAATAAACAAAAAAGCAAAAAACATAAATTTAGAAATCAAATCTTCCTAGAAACCAAATCCTTCTATTAGCTGCACCCAACCCCTAAAGCAATTTAAGAATTTGTTTCTTACAGACAATTAATCACATGCAGGCGTGCCAGATGAGAACTATTGATTGCCCTTTTCCAGGCTAGTGGCATTCAGACAGTAGACAGACTAATGCCTTAAGCAAGGAAAAGCATCTTTCTGCTTCTGCCTGGTGTAGCTTTTAATTGTTCTTTCCTAAAATGCATGACATTTGCTGTTCAGCTTTACAGCTCATGATTTTCTTTTTGAGCAACATGTATGTGTGTGTGCATGCATGTGTATGCACACATGTGTATATGTGTATGTGTCTTAAGTTTTATTCACCTTCACACCCAGGTCCTTCATAAGCTCAATTTCAAAATTCACAACATCATATGGCAGCCGGAACTGAGGAATTTCAGAAGTACTGAAGAGAGAGGAAAAGAAAAAAGCATTAGTGGACATTTTTATTTATTTATTTTTAAAAAGCAATGTGGCCAGGTGTCAGTGGTTCACCCATGTAATCCTAACTTTTCAAGAGGCTGAAATCTAAAGATCACAACTTGAAGCCAACCTAGGCAGGAAAGACTGTGAGATTCTTATGGCAAAAATATGAGGAGTAGAGAGGTATGGGTAGAGTGGTAAAGTGCTAACTCTGAGTGAACAAAAATAAAAGGGACAGTACACAATCCTGAATTCCATTATCAGCATCCATCCATCCATCCATACACACACAGGATTTCATAGATGCAGAAGTTAGAGGATATTTTCTAAAAGTATTCATAAAATGCAGCTGCCAATTTCCGAGTCACAGAGGAGTAATCCAGATAATTCTCATTGTTTTTTTTTTTTTTTGTGATGGCAGCCTTAGTAACAGCCAGCTCAGAAACAACAGTAGTTTCATAAAGTTTGTGCTTGACATAGAGAACTCAGGACAGATACAGATTTCTAAATAATTTGCATATAGCAAGTAATTGAAATCAAGATAGTAAATGAGATCGTCCCCTGCAGACTATGGTGGAAAAGAGCTTGAGAAAATGAAATTGATAGAAATCATTACTTCCCAAGTTTACTGTGCTTATGAAAACCATTTTTTTATTCTTCTGCTAGTATTCTCATGACAATCTTGGCTTTGATAGAAATTTTTACTTTTGGGAGCTATAAATCCTTCAATATAGTCAGTGGCATGTCAGATAACATGAAAGAAATTGTTCCTTCTATGATCATGAGTCTTAAGTTTAATGGAATATAGCTACAGAATCCTTCCTAAAGCACACTTTTCATGCTTTGCCACAGCCTGGCCTGATTGCATTATGATCTAGGTACTGGCCTTGATATTTGCATCAAATCACACATTTTATCAGAATACTTCCTAGTACCAAAACCATTCCACTTAGACCATATTTTTTTTATTGATCATCAAAATGAGATGCACTACATATAATGAAAATGTTGTAATGTGAAATAACTAAAGCAAAGGAAGCATTGGCCAGTTCTGCCTAATAAAGGTGACATGATTAATGAGCATTAATTTTAAATGAAATAAAAATCAAACTATGTATGCACACGTATACTTAATAACCTATTAATTTTTTATGTGTGACACAACGAATCCCTTGCAATTCTCATAAATGAATGTTTTTAACAAAGAATCCATGGTTGGAGGAAATCAAAAGAACTGATGATTTTATACATTTGTTATAGATTCAAAGATAATCAACCAGATTGTGTTTGAAACAATAGGTATTATTACTCAGTGACTCTAGTGATGTTCAAAAAGTGGTTGTGATACCAGTTCACTAGGGATAAAAGAATCAGTTTGGATGCAGAGAAAACTGAGAGATGAAATGTGACATCTCCTTTTTAAGCAATTGATTTCAAATACAATGTGAATTTAATCTCTTTTAGCCACTTTGACAATGCAAGAGAGTGAAAGTTATCTTTAAAGGAGGAAATAAATTGAGATGAAAGTTTTGTGGTTGTAATTTTAGCCAAATCTGTCACTTGTGGGATTTCGTTTTTAATAATTTTCAACCAGTGACACATAGTATGGCAACATGGGCCGATGCCAATCAAACTGATTTGATATTTCATCCTGTGCTTAGGACTAGGTCAACTCAAAAGCAAAGGAAACAAAATAAAAAGGTTAAACAAGAGTGAAAATGAATGAGAGGCAAACAAAAAGAAGGAAAGAGGCAAGGAAAGAGGGAAGGAAGGAGAAAGGGAGAGGAGGAAGGAAAGAGAAAGAAGGAGAAGGGAAGGGAAAGAAAGGAAGAAAGAGAGGGAGGAAAGAGGGAGGAAGGGAGCAAGAGAGGGAGGGAGAGAGAGAGGGAGGAAGAGAAGGGGAGAAAGAAAGGAAAAGAGAAGAGAGAAAGAAGAGAGAGAAAGAAGAGAAAAAAGAAAGAGGGAGGGAGGGAAGGAATGAAGGGAAGAGAAAGAAAGAAAGGAAAAGGAAGGAAGGAAGGAAGAAAGAAAGGAAAAGGAAGGAAGGAAGGAAGAAAGAAAGGAAAAGGAAGGAAGGAAGAAAGAAAGAAAGGAAAAGGAAGGAAGGAAGGAAGAAAGAAAGGAAAAGGAAGGAAGGAAGGAAGGAAGGAAGGAAGGAAGGAAGGAAGGAAGAAGGGGGCGGGGAGAGGATGGGAAGGGATGGGAAGGGGAAACAAAGGAGGAGGCTACAATGCTTGGTAAGAAATGTACTCATTATCTTGCCCATGTAATTGTAACCCCTCTGTACAGTATTTTCACAATAAAAAAGAAAGAAAAAAAGAAAGAGAAAGCAAAAGAGAAAGAAAGAAAGAAAAAGAAAGGAAGAAAGAAAGAAAGAGTGAGTGAGTGAGCAAGCAATCTTGGTTGGTCATGAATTCAGGGCAGTGTATCCCACTAAATATTGTCAACAAACATACAAAAACAAATAATTAATGCTAATGTCTATAAATTATCCTGAATTGGAATAAAAATGAGGTGAGAAACTAGCATCAAATAAAATTGGCAACATGTAATAGGTCATAAACGGGGCTTGTGCTATTTTAGGTTTCTCGTAAAAATGCAATTGGAGCAAAAGGATTTTGACTAGTCTACCACAGCACACACAATTCAGTTTTTAGTTTTTAAGGGATCTTTCATATTCACTGGTATGTATAACTGGAAATAACCTCACAATACTTACACATATGCTTTTAAAGGATTATGCATTTCTTAATTCATAAGGCTCTGGCAAAAGGCCACTAACACAATAGTATAAATCCTTACAGCAAAACAAAATACTGATTATTTTATTTCCAATGAGAAGCAAATTCATAAGACATGTGATTTTTCAAATCTGGTGAAATGAAACATCAACATAAAAAATAATTATTTCATGAGGATCAAGTTATTTATGCTTTATATCCCTTTTAAAAGTTTTTTTCTGGTATGTATTATTTTTGCTTATTAAAAAAATACCTTGAGTTGGGCACCGGTGGCTCACGCCTGTAATTTAAGCTAATCAGGAGTCTGAGGCCTGAGAATCATGGTACAAAGCCAGCCTAGTCAAGAAAGTCTTTTAGACTCTTATCTCCAATTAACCACCAAAAAGGTGGAAGTGGAGCTGTAGCTCAAGTGGTAGAGTGCCAGCCTTAAACAAGAACGCTGAAAGGAGAGCATACAAGCCTGAAGCTCAAGTCTCAGTACCAGCAGAAAAATAAATAAATACATATGTATATAAATATGTTTTTGCATACATATTTTGTCAAGTAGTTTTAATTGTAGCAATGCTGATATAAATACATGTATGAAATAGTTGTAGTGGTATAATACAATTTTGATAATTTAACATGAACTATTGCTTAGCATAGTGTCACTTGACCAAAATATCTGAAATACGTAGAAGTTACTTATGCAAAAGGCCCATTTTTCAATACCTTCTGGAAATACACGTGGTAATGACTATGTGACTGAATCCAAGTTGACTAATCATAGTGATCAATATTAAATAGTAAAGATATATTGATGGTCCCAAAACATAACAAGAATGTACCTTAAACCACCAACGTATTCCTGTTTTTCAAATATGGTGATGTCAGAGTAGCCCAATCGAGCCAAAAAAGAGGCACAACTTATACTGGCAGGCCCAGCACCAAATAGAGCAATTTTTGCTGAATAGGCTTCAGGCATTTTCTCTGGAGGAGGCAGAGAAGGATTTCTGATCTGTGGAATATTCATTGCTTTGAACACCTGTGGGGAGAGCAATTGGCAGGATTAAAACTTTTAAGTTAAATTTTATACCCTTGAACACATTTATAATGTTTCAATGGCATTAGCATCTTAACTAATAATTAGAGGTACACTTTCAATAATAATAGGGTGCAATTAGAAGTGGTATTACATTATTTTTTGCTGGTTTTGTTTTCTTTTTATCATGTTTGTTCTTTTATATGTCTTTGGGAGTCTAAGGCAAAGAATAGAAATGTGGTACACACTGGAAACGATGTTGAAAATGAACTGTATAAATTGGGGGGGGGGAAGAGCAAGGGAAGGGGTGACATCATCCAAAAAGAAATACGCTCATTATCTGACTTATGTAACCCTAACCCCTCTGTATATCACCTTTACAATAACAATAAAAAATTGTAAGTTGGTATTACATCAGAAGAGACCCTGTTGCTAACTCAATCTGTGGAATTCCTCCCCAAAGTTGTATCTCCTCCTCTGACTCCCCTTTTCTATTGTGTCCTCTAGGCTAAGTTGGGAAGTTATATCTTCCTCTTCTGACCTTCTATGACATATATAATTTGCATGCATTTGCATAACCTCTTATATGTTGATGTGTTATGATTGCATGTCACTCCATTGTACCTTAATTCCTTGAGCTGAGAGAGATATGGAACTATGTAGGCAACATAGGGAAAGAGCAGAGGAGACCCACGGCCAGCCAACCTGCCTTTGCTCTAACACAGGGTATCCAGTGAAGATGCTCACAGGCAAACATAAACATTATACCCACCGATCCAGAAAAGATAGAACTATGCCTGGAGATAGGGAGGAGGAGAGGGGAGCAAAACAAGATGCAAAGAGAAACGTGGGAAGTCAAGGCCAGGCATTCAATTCTTGGACCCCTTTTTCTTTAGAGAAGTCTGTTACTTGTGTATCCAGCTATTTTGGTTCTTGCAATAAATCTTTTACTCTTATGTTCTCATCTTCTGGATTTCTGGTCTTTTAACCTCTCCTTCCCCCCTGTCCTGATCTCCTACGGATATGAGGCAGCCCACTGCAACTCTGGTAGGAATTTATTCTGAGCAAGCGAGTTACGAAGAGGCAAAGTCAGTGAGACTTTTTTTAGTTGCTCCTTGCTAAGCTCCCTACCTCTTACCCTATCTTCCTGTGCCCTTTTCTTCAATTCTGTATCAGATTGAGACAATAAAGCCAACCTCTAGTTGGTAATGGAGTCAGCAACCATGTCGTATGTAAGTATGTTAGCACTATATTACCAGGATTTAGCCCTAGCCTGCTAGAGAGCAAAAAGTGAGCAAATAATTTCTTTACATCCACTTCTGTTCTATTTTCTTCTGAATATGAACATTTTACCAATGTGATTGATGCCCGAGAGAGCGTACAGCAGCAAGCTAGATGGGAGGCGTGCAGATCTGAGAGCAAATGCCACCGCAGAAGAGGGACAGAGAACAGTCTTGAGTGGTGGTTACTGTACAGCCCCTTGTAGAAGGAAGATCAAAGATCTTGCAGGGGACCAAGGTCAAAAGACCCTGCAAGAGAGATTGGCAAACTTCTAGACCAGAAGGGAGACAAGGTTGAGGAATGAGGGATACCAATCATCGGGGGCAGAAGAGAAGGCAGAAAAATGAGCATAGTTCTTAGGCTATGAAGGACCACAATCCGGGGGTCTAAACGGAGAACCTCTATAATGTTGAAAGGGCTTTCTCAGAGAAAACAAAACTGAACCCAGTAAATAAAGAGAAAAAAAACCCAGCAAACTCCATGCACAAAGCTAGAACCAGTGAAGGCCTAACTCTAGGAGACAAACCACAGATGAGACAAGCAACCCAGCCTTGTATCAACTTGCCCCAGATTTTAATATGGGTCCCAAGTTTTCACTGTACCTTTCCTACTTATATACCAATGATTGGGTAGATTTTCTGGGGAGACAATAGGTTATTCCTAATTGTCATCTATAATGCCTAGGGATTATCTAAATATCAAAATACCTAGGCCTGCCTAGAAAAACACATTCTAGAATAAACACACAACCCACAGTTCACAAACAAATATGAGGGCAACTGCATTACATATGTCTCGAAAGTACAAGAATGGGAATTTCCATGAAGTGGAAATTCATTCAAATGTTAAAGAAAGCTTAGAAGACAAAAAGAAATGTGTTATAAAAAATTCCATAAAACCCCACATTGTAGTAATCCTACCAACTCAGGACTTGAGGATTAAAATGACTGTGATTCAAAGCCAGCCTTGGCAAAATAAATAAATAAATCCATAAATAAATAGCAAGACCACATAGTCTTGCTACATAGGCCCTGTAGTCAAACTACATAGAAGGCAGAGGTAGGAGGTACGTAGGAGACAGATCCTGGTTAAAAGACTCAGTCATTTCTATGCTACAGTCTGGATGGTATGTTGCTTGGAAATTTCCTGCATCAGTTTAACTAGCCTGTGATCATTAACGACAGCATCCCATTAAGTATCAGGGCATGGACAAAATGTAGATAACACAAATGGTGTCTAGGACAATTCCTAGTCCAGTCCTCATTTCCATCAGAAAACTCAAGAACTCTGTCTTTACTGCCTCTCTTTCTGGGCTCCTGTGACAGTTGAATGATAAGCGTTGCTTACAGTATTCTAAAGTTTTCCTAGATCAATTAGGCATTTTTTTTTCAAATTGCTGTCATGAATCACTTCCAAAAGCTTCTGGACAACATGGTAAGATGTAGTCACAGCTATGGGCTTACTTCTTACTGCTAGTTATCTATATCAGTCACCTTTTGTTGCTGTGACAAAACACTTTTGAAAAACAGTGAGGGAGGGATTTATTTTTGGCTCTTGGTTTCAAAAGTTTTAAGTCCGTGGCCACTTACTTCTGCTGTTTCCGGGTTGCCTCCTGTATGATGAGCTAGAAAAACGTGGTGGAGAGGTGTTGGAGAACAGTGGTTCCCTTCATGGTGTACAGGGGCACAATAACACAGCTTCCAGAGACATGTCAAAATCTGGGTGCCCTTTTTCCTCCAAGGAGGTCCCAAATGCACACAGATTAACACCTCATAATCCAATTACCTCTCAAGAGTGTCACCATTGGGGACCAGGTATTCAAACTGTAGGCCTACCACGGGAAGGATTGCATTATGGAAAACAATTGAAAAAAGCAAAGGAACTAACTGGGAACTGGTAATTGGAGATTTGTTATGGGATTTCCTGCTGTGAAATTGTGTTCACTTTCCTTTAACTGAGCACTGATAGTCTGCTCTCCGGGCTTTACCTATGTATTTTTTCATTTAATAGTTGAACAAATAATCAACTTTGCTAATAAGTCATGAGCTAATCTAGGAGACCGTTCTTCATCATCTCCAGTCACAGATATGACCACAAAGGAGAGTGCCTACCAACAAATCTTGATAAGTTTCCAAATTCTTGAACTTCAGCGATCCACCTCAGTAAATCACTAAGAAGTCACACAGGAAAACTGGCACTATCTTAGCGATAAAGAAGTAAAAAGTCTGTGCTCTTGCTGAGGATCATCTTCAAATAAATTTTCTGGCAAAATCATCCTGTAATCCTGACCTTTCACTCATCTGGCAAGTACATTTACTTCATCACTCTAAATTGACTTCAGGAGTATTTACTCTATAATTTTCACATTATTTCGAGGCAGGGGACAGATTATCTTGATTTTAGAAATGGAAAGACTGAGATGCAGAGACGAGCCATGGGACTTCCCTACAGCCCTCTGAACATTCTGGAGAAAGAGTATAATTTCCTAATCATTACATAGTGTTTTATAAATAATAAAAAAGATATTTCTGAGTGTGTGTTTGTATGTTTGTGTGTGTGTGTTTGTGCGTGTGCGTGCACGCACACGTGTGTGTGCTAGTCCTGGGGATTGAACTCAGGGCCTGGGTGCTATGCCTGAGCTTTTTTGCTCAGAGCTAACTCTCTATGACATGAACCAAAGAGCTACTTCCAGCTTTTGGAGTGTTTATTTGGAGACTCAAGTCTCACTGACTTTCCTACCTGGGCTGGCTTAGAACCATGATCATCAGATCTCAGCCTGATGAGTAGCTAGGAATATGGGTGAGAGCCATTGGAATCTGACTAAAAGGATCTCACATTTTAAATGCAAAGATGCTTACCAATTCTAACTTGAGGGTAATTCTTATTTTAATCTTTCTCACTTTCTAAAATCCTACACAATGAATATATACCTGAAAGTTTGATAAACATAATTCTTCCTTGGTTATTTCATTTATTCTTTGTAACCAAGCAATAGCATAAGTAAACTATAGGGAAATCTTGACAAGAAAATAGTCTTAGAAAATTCAGACTACTTCCATGAATACTAAGATAAATTATAAAACGATAGTTGTGTTTCATATATATCCTTAGGGGCTTATATTTTAGCAAGTATTTAACTTCATTTCATGATAAAATAAAAATAATTTCTGGTAATTCCTAAAGAGATATTGTTTCATCAGTGTGGGCCTAAGAGAAATCTTACTAAAAATAATGCATTACTTTTCATTTTGCTGGTATTGATTTCTTGAATAATTTAATTAGTAGGATGACAGTTGGGTTACCTTTTGAATGTGTGAATGAAGAAAGATTGCTATTTGTGCATCCAAAAGTAAGTTGCCTTAAATTATATCCCTTCCAAGAGCTTCTATGTAATTTTCTTTCTAACTTGCTTCCTTTTGTAAAAGAAGTCAAAGGAAACATTGAATACATGCTATTCAATGTATTCATCCTTTGAAAAGAAATACACTTGGGCTGACAAACAGTTTTCCTCTTAACAATTAAGCAAAAGACACAAAAAGCAGAGGCTGTGATTTACATGCACTAGAAATAGGGAAAACTGTGTGGCATAGCAAATGTTTCAGTTAACAGAATTATCAATATATTAACAATTGTTCAGAACTTCTAGTACACAGCTCTCTGAGTAACTCATATACCTTCATACATGAGAAATATTACAATGTAATCTCTAAGGTTCATTTATA